TTTTGTTTGGATCGAATGCCAGAATGAAGAAGACAAGGACTGTCATGCTGTTCTAAGAGAATCAAAGATCATAGGTCGTGCAGGGCACGCATTTGGTGCTGAGAGGAGTTATATGCGTCTAAGCCTCGTCAATAGCCAAGATGATTTTGACTTACTACACGGCTGCACCATCGACTTGAGATGTTAGTTTTCGAGGAAAGAAGGATAGATCTAATTGCTAGAACAGCCAATAACAATTTCTTGATCCATTGAATGATACAAATGTCGCGGAGGAAGATACTGAGAATCATTCTAATCAAGAATTTATATCCCAAGGCAGCAGAAGACCATAGTTTCAATAAATTTTGCAGACTCTTCATCTCCAGGACATGTGGCCTTCTAAGTTCTAACAGATTGGCATATGTACATATAATTCTTTTTGTAGAATATTTAGTCATTTCATTTATTCACTAGGAAGTGAGAAGAAAAATGCAATGATCATTTATTGATATATATATTAATGCTACACACTTTCTTAGTCGCTATATTTATTGGTTTTTCAATCTCGAGTAAGTTTTCTGAGGCTAATAACTGTAACTGCATTATTATATTTTCAGTACTTAAAAGTTCATTAATACAACAATAAGTTGTCACGATTACCTTTTGGGGAAGGTACTTGAAGGCGTGGTATTAGTTCCATCTAGCTTCAGTACATTCTTTAGGGAAAGTGCTTGAAGACGTGAAATTAGCTCCATCTAGGTTCAACTTGTTCGTCTAAACATTATGGTGCCCTATAACTAGAAAACATTAAAAATTATTGTTTTGTACGTGTTCAAAGTTCAAGAAGAATTTTTTTTTATAACGTTTCGAACTCAAAGTAAGAATACGTATTATCAATTTTTATTATGGTTGCTCGGTCAAAATAGCTTTTAATTATTGTTCGGGATTTTTTTTAATAAAATATCTTTTTTATTTTTTATAAAAATTTTGGCAGAGTTTTCCCTTATAAATGGACGAAACTCCCTGCCAACAAACCCAAATTCAAGAAAAATATCCACATGGCAGTTATTTAATACAAATTTTGAGCTAAGCTAAAGCATTTTTCTACGAAAATTAGGGAAACATTTCATCCACATCCTGTAGCAGCTGCAGAATGCCTAATTTTCCTAATCGAAGGCATTCCTATCCTATCCAGTCGGATTTCCCCATGAGCCAGCCTAGGAAACATATTAAAGCAATTATAGACCTTGATATGTTGCTCGGGATATTGTTCGGGATTAATTATAAATCAAAACATTACAATATAACAACTCATACTTAAACTATGGATAGGTATATGACTTACTTTTTTTAGTATAAGTGGAAAGTCGAGACGTCTCACTTACACTTCTTCCTCTATACCATTCAATCCATCTCTCTTCATAAGTATATGACGACTTACATCAACCCAAACCAATAATATTATACTAAATTAATCCTCAATGATACATTCATTAGGATTCATATACACTCGAATACGTTTTTAGCGTCTTCCATATTTCTTGCATATTCATGCTGACAGTACTTCTAATTGCATTAAAAGAAAAAAAAAAGTATAAAATATGAACGCTAGTCTATATATACGTGTTAACTTATAATATATAAGGCACAACAAAACTTATTCCTTCGATGAAAATTTTTTTTCATTGATAGAAGAATTAGAACTAATTTTCAGCCAAGACTATCTAACTATGAGTTAATTTGGTCTTAAACAAACCCTAGTGTTTAGTATAAAAGATTTAACCAATTTTTTTTATTGAAAAATTTTTTTCAAAAGGAAAGTTTGATGCTATCTTGTTTATCAAAATAGATAAGAAGGATATTCTAGTCATTCAGATTTATGTTAATGATATTGTCTATGGTTCTATTAACAACACAATATGCCAAAATTTTGAAAGACTTATGCAAGAAAAGCTTGAGATGAGTATGACGGAAAAACTCATATTACTATTAAAGATGGTATTTTTTGTAGAGTACAACTAAGCAATTTGAAGATGGTATTTATATCAATCAAATCAAGTACACAAAGGAGTTGTTCAAAAGATTTGATTACTGTGATATCAAAAGTACAAGTAGTCTGTTGAGTGCTACTATTAAAATTGACAAGAATGAATAGGGCGAAAAGGTTTGTGAGAAACTTTACCGAGGTATGATTGATGATTTATTATATTTAACTACTAGTCGTCTCGATATGTGATATCATATTTGCTGTTTGTCTTTGTGCTTGTTTTCAGATTTGTCCTAATGAGTCTCTTATCTCTACTGTTAAGCATACATTCTATGTGAGTTATTTGCCTAAATAACTCCCTTCGCAAAAAATATTCCTAAAATGATTCAATTTCATACTTTATTTCCATAACAACCTTTTCTGTTATCCATCCGATCAAATTCAATGGAAATGAGAAAAAGGGTAAAACTCTTGTTTAGTCATTAATATAGTTCAAAAATTCCCTACATGACTATAATACTCTACTCTGCTTTTACTTATCACTCTATTGTCCAAAAAAGTCTTGAACACTTAACATAAATCTAACGATATTTCCAAACATGAGAGCAAAAGTCTTGAATACTTAACATAAATCTGACGATATTTCCAAAGATGAGAGCAAAATCTAAAATTTGACTATTCATCCCCATTCCAGTTGCAATAATTTTCTCTTTATGATGCTTTCCTTCTTATTAAGAAAAAGAAAAAATAAAAGAAAAACTCACTACAAATCAAGGGAAACTGGAATTATCTCCAAACATTAAAGCAAAATCTAAAATTTTGATTGTTCATCTCCATTCCAGTTGCGGTAATTTTCTCTTTCTTATGCTCTTTTTCCTATTAAAAATAAAAAAGAAAAACTCACTACAAACCTGGCGAAATTGGAATTATTAGTATGTTTGTACAAAACTCTCCATCACTTGTTCATTAAATTAACTCTTTCCGGAGTTTTAGTTTTGATTTTGTCATATTGCATTGAACAGGAACTCATTGTGCATGTGGCAATATGGGGAATAGCATGTAGGGCTGAGGAAAGGAGTCTTATGTTTTTATTTTGGATGGATGTGAGTTTGGAACCTCCTATGTTAATAATGGTGGTAACGAGAATTTGATTGAGTTTGAAGAATTTGATTTAGAAAGCATGGAGGAGGTTGCTCCTTATTAGGGGATAAGGTCAGAAGATTATATTAGTAATAAAATTTGGAGTTGAATCATTGTAGGAATATTTTTTGGAAAAACAAAGGTTATTTTGGCAAAAAAAACTCCATTCTATGTAACTCAAAAATTCTTAAATTCTTTGAATTTAGGTTTGTGGTACTTTAGAACAAACTGTATTGATTTTATTGATTATTGCGATGCTGATTTTTCTGTGTGTAAAGTTGATATGAAGCGGACTACTAGCGGGACATGTTACATCCTGACATGTTGAGAAGCAAAATGGAGTCCAATGTCATCAACGGTGCGGGTCCGGATAGATATCCAATCTTGGCAGGATAAAAAACTGGTGAAAGGAAAAGTGTCACGATAGATACCCTATCCTGGCAGTTTTAAATGCCCATATCCATTTGGATTTACAACCATGAGCTTTTCATGGGGGCTCTGCAGATATATATGCATTTCCTTTTCCTTTTCCTTTTCCTTTTATTGGGGATATTTTTTCTTTTGTTTTCCGTTTTTTTGGCGGAGGATTAACCAGGATTCCCTAACTTTTATTTAATGTCACTTAGTCCCTTAAAAGATAAGAATACCCCTCTATTATGTTAAGTATTTACTTTCAAATTTTTACTTTCTTTAAACATTGAATTTTAACCTGTGGTTTGATTTTGACCACTCTAATTAGTGGTAGCAATGTTATACATGAATTTAGTGTGTGTGTATATAAATATAATAGAGAATATGCTAACAATTGAATAGTTTAAACACATGACAAAGAAAAGATCCTAATAAGTAAAAATTCATTAGAGGAAAAATAATTAAAAATGTCCAATAATTGACAGGTGAATTTGTGAAAACTAATGAATTTAGAAAAAGAGGAAAGTAAAAAAGAAGAACTATATTTTCATTCGCTCAATTGAAATTTCAGTTCACCACTATCACTCATACAAGAGGGTAAGGGAGTACTGAAGAATTCAAAGTATATCAACTGATTCTTATCATCCTTTTTGAAAGTCGTGACAGTTTTATCATCTCGAAAGTCTTGATAGTTTTATCACCTCAAAAATTGTGAAATAAAAGAAACAAAAAGAAAAAAAACTAATGTCTGATATTTTCACAAGCAAAATAAACAAGAAAATACAAAATGAAAAAGAAAAAAGAATACCAATACCATTTTTCATTTACAGGCGGATTTTCGAAGAAACTTATGATGCATTTTAAACAATAATTCAAGCTAAAATATTTTATCCTAATAATTGTTTAATGTCATTTTTGTGATGACAAGCTCTTAAAGATATTTTTGAAGGATACTATAAGTGGAAAAGAAGTTGGGGGAAATTATTCTTATTTTCAATGATCATTTAAAAAAAATGTAGTAAAAACATGACTAATAAGTTTTAGGTTTGTATGAGGATGTGTACTCAAAAAGAAGAAAGTTTGTATGATGTCATGAATATTAAGAGTTGTGAAAAATAAGTCGCTTGCTGAGCCAAAAATTAATTAAAGAAATAATGATCCTGTAAACAGATTCTTAATCTTTTTACCTTTTAGATGTTTCTAAAACTTTGTCTAGTCAATAATCAGCACTTCTTGTTCCCAAGCACGTCATGACCATTCTAAAAAAGAAGTTTACTGTGATTTGAGGTATCTTGAAACCTCCCATTTACACTAAAAATAATATTTAAAAAAAAGGTAATTGAACTGAAAATTGATTAAACTTTTAATCTTTACTGTTAGTGAATAACATCATGTTTCATTTTCAAATGCTTTCATAGTTATGTCAGCAACGACAAGTCGACAAAGGAAATAAACATAAAGTCAGCAGGGCCACCAGAGTTAGCTTAACATTTCTGGTGAATCTCAAGCATATTCTCTATTTCAATCCTGAGAGAATTTGATCATTGAGGTTACTTGAAAAAGCCAAAAAGGCAGCATGGCCAAGATGCATAGCTCTTGCTATGCTGTTTGCCTTTTGGCTTCCATGATAGTTAATGTCTTGCTTATGACGCAACAGAACAAGGTCCGGAATCAGCTGACTTGGAGCCAAAACGCTGCAGCAGAAGCTGAATCTGTGGCATCGATTTCATGTTCTGGCAATGGAAGAGCCTATGTTGATGGATTGGTTGTTGATGGAAAACCAGTTTGTGAGTGCAACTCATGCTTTCAGGGACCTGACTGCTCTCAATTCATAACTGACTGCCCTGCTGATGCTGATAGGTTTGGCCTCGCTATCCCTCTCAAATCCCCCTCCCCTCTTCTGCCTGTGGCTAAAATTTCTTTTTTCATTATAATTTTTTGGTATGGAGAGGGGAATCAAGAAGAAAATATTTTTGGGATGACAAATTGATCAGGGATGACATATTTGTTCATTTATGATAGTTCTTCTCCTGGAAATTCACATCTTCCCTTAGGTTGCTAAGTCCTATTTCAGGCGGCATGCAATTGCATCTCCAGATTTCAGACTTCTTCTGCTCCGCAGTCAGTAACTCAATATCATGAAAATGATCGTGCCGTCAAGGAATGATCAATCGAGTAAAATGTTTTTGTCGAATAGTGGAACGAAACTGTTTTTAATATCTTAGTTGGCTCATCAGGGGCCATACGCTGTGAACCTGAATATTCTACTAAGACGGCTACAACAAACAATTTTAAACAAGGCATTAGATGCCATTGGCTAGTGGCTATGGTTTGTTGAAGAACCAGATTAGGAAATTTACTCGCTGTATCCACATTCAACAACCACGTGCGTTTGATAAAATTAAAATATAAAATTTGTTGAAGTTATCGAATTATTAAATAATGAAATCTTAATAGTTGAACATATTTTTCGTTAAGTAATAAATGAATGATTTATCACTTACTTTTTAGAGTGAGTTTTGCTTAGAGAGTTCTATTTTTTGTTATCAAACACGTCGCAATATATTAAGATCTAAACCTATTAAAGTCAAACACTAAATTGAATCATCAAATTAAATAGGCCTCATGCACATCTATCTTTTTATATATCGGTCAGGCTGAGATAGAGAAAGAAAATCTTATCAAACTACTACATTTGCTACATTTCTTTCTTTGCAACTAACAACATAGCACACTATTGAGGGGAAGGGGGGGGGGGGAATCAAGTCCTAAGGTCCCAGCCTACACTGTTTCCCCATAATATCTTTCGTTAACAAGCTAGGCTCCGTTTGGAACCTGAGTTTTTTGGAAATTTGTCTAAAACTTTACTGTAGTGCACGATAGAAGTTTTTAGAAAAATTTTTTAAGATGAAAAACTTTTTTTTTCCTTTTCTTTTTTTTCTTTCTTTTTCTCTTTCTTTTTCTTTTTCTTTCCTTCCTTTTTCTTTTCTTTCCTCTCTTCTTCTTCTTCTTCTTCTTCTTCCTTCCCCCTCCCCTTCCCTCCCCCGTTACCTCTGCCTTCCCAGCAGCCATGGCCCTACCATTTTTTTTCTTTTCTTTCTTTTTCTCTTTCTTTTTCTTTTTCTTTCTTTCCTTTTTCTTTTCTTTCCTCTCTTCTTCTTCTTCTTCTTCTTCTTCTTCCTTCCCCCTCCCCACTTCCCTACCCCGTTACCTCTGCCTTCCCAGCAGCCATGACCCTACCATTTCTTTTCTTTTCTTTCTTTTTCTCTTTCTTTTTCTTTTTCTTTCTTTCCTTTTTCTTTTATTTCCTCTCTTCTTCTTCTTCTTCTTCTTTTTCCTTCCCCCTCCCTCTTCCCTCGCGGTACTAGACCTCTGCCTCGTTGAAGAACCAGCAGCCATGGTCCCAAAATTTTTTTTTTCCTTTTCTCTTCCCCTCTTCTCCCTCTCTGCTCCCCTCTCCCCCTCTACTCCCCTTCACCCTCTCCCAAAGCCAGAGAACCAGTAGCCATGGCGTGCACAAAATTTTGTTTTTGGCTTTTTCTCTCCCTCTCTTCTCCATCTCCCTCTCCTCCCCTTTCCTACTCTTCTCCCATTCCCCCTCTCCCTTTGCCCAATCTGGTCGCATGACCAGATTGCAGATGCGGTCTGGTACCGCGCGACCAGATCGCAGCTAGAGAAGGGGAAGGGTGGCCAGGGAAGGGAGGGAAGGAAAGGGGGAGAGGGAGAAAGGAAGGGAAAAAAAAAAAGGAAGGTCGGCGCCGGAAGCAACGGCGGAGGTGGTGGTGGCCGGCGCCGGAGGTGGTGGCCGGTGATGAAGGTGTGGTGGATCAGGGTGAGGGAGAAAGAAGAAGAAAAGAGGAAGTTTTTTGTGTATTAGATATTTTAAGTATGTAGGTTAAAAAATTTAATAAGTTTTTTTGGGTTCCTGTAGCTAAAGTTGTTAAAAACTAGTAGCTAAAAAACTTGGCCAAAAAACTCGATTCCAAACAGGCCCTTAGTTCTAAAGCCAAATGTTTCATAATAGCAAGAAACTAGTAGATAAAGCATTCCTCAATCTTTTTTTGGAAAAGGGTTATTATTACTTTACCCATTTGACGTTCAGTATCACTATCAATGTCCCTCTTAACATTACCTTTTAGTCACTTTATATCCAAGATTAACGGTCAAACTTAACGGAGTTTGTTAATTAAACTAAAAAGATATGTTTAACTCTTAAAATTATTATCACTTTATCCCCATAAACTATAGCATCATTATCAGTTTACCCCCTAGAGTTATTTTTAAGCAATTTACCCTACCATTAAACCAATTTAGTAAGTTAAAAAACTTTAGAAAAAAGTACCCTCCTCTTTGAATAATAAAAATAATCAAAATTTTAGAATGGTTCTTCTCATTTTTAGTATAAACAAAAGAGTAAAAGTGTTAATCTCTTTCTTCTTGGCAATCTTATTAATGTTGGAAAAAAAATAGAAAGATGGGGAGGGGAAGAGAGAGATAGAGAGAGAGAGAGAAAGAGTTCAATTCTTTTTTTAAAAAAATACAAATAAGAAAGGATTAAATAATTTTATTATTTTAAAATTATTTCACTTTCTGTTTACCACCAAATTTCAATTCTAATCTCGACAACCTTAAAGTAATACGATAATATTAGACTCTTCTTTATTTTCTTTCTTTGCAAAATCTAATTATTTGTCTCCTTCTTTCCTATCTCCTTTTCTTTTCCTAGTATTAATAAGTGTGAAAAAAATTTGAGAAAATTGTTTTATTTTTATATTTTTGGATCTCTTAAAGTGAAAAAAAAAGGAAGAATAATCATTCCAACTTTTTTATTTTTAATTATATATAAAAATGGTAAATATATTTAAATTTTTTTTACCATACTAGTTAGATTAACGATGAGATAAAATGCCTAGAAATTAATGTTCGGAATTAAAGCGTTTGTATCACTATAATTTCAAGGGATAAAGTGATAATAACAATGTGATAATGCTATAGAATAAAGGGGTTTTTTTTTGTCCAAAATTTCTTAACATGTTGATTTGAATTACTTATGAGAGTGAAGTGACTAAAAGATAACGTTAGAAGGTAAACTGATATAGTTTAAGAAGTGATAATAACCCTTTGGAAAACTTCTAATCTATCCTTCTCTTGGAGCTCCCCAATCTTGGAGGAACATATTAAGTTGCACTCTATCTGTAAAAGAATTTCAAGAAAAAGTTTCTTTCTATTCGATCAATACCAAATCTAGATTCGAAAGATATTTCATCGTATCGAATGAGATGGAGAGATTCTGCTTGTTTTCCTAAATTTTATTTGGAGCGAACATCTAGAAACCTTTTTCTAGTAGTCCCGCTAACTGTTGATCCAGATAAAGTCTTTCCCATCTACGTTACTCAGTATTGTTGATTCGTGCTTTTGCTTTACGTAAATTCTCTTCTTCAAATTCTCAAGTGCAAAATTAACACTAATAACAAGTCTGTTGCTGTCTTTAGTCACTCGTTTAGAGAGAATATCTTGCGAGTTACATTATGGTAATCATTTTGTCGCTAAGTAAAAGCTGAAATTGGCTGAGTGCAGTGGAGATCCTTTGTTTCTAGAGCCCTATTGGATGCGACATGCTGCAAGTAGTGCCCTCTTAGTTGCAGGATGGCATCGAATGAGCTATACGTTTTCGGACCATACAAGTATCTCGCAGGTTCTTGATCAACACATCCGCACACTACATGCAGCTGCCAAAAATGCTATTACAGATGGAAAATACATCGTCTTTGGTGCTGGTTCAACTCAACTTCTCAATGCTGCGGTTTTTGCTCTTTCCTCTCGAAACTCATCTTCTCGCACAAGAGTTGTGGCATCTACACCTTATTATCCGGTTTGTCCTTGTACATGATACTGATTTCCATTTAAAAACCAAGAAACTACAATAAGATTGAACTGACATAGTTCTATTCCCACAGCTTTACCAAAAACAAACAGATTACTTCGAAACTCTTCATTTTGAGTTTGGTGGTGATGTATCCTCGCTCAAAAAGAATTCAGATGCTTTGGATATCATCGAGTTTGTAACTTCACCAAATAATCCAGATGGTCAGTTGAAGAAAGCGGTTCTGCAAGGCCCTACTGTCAAGGCTGTCTATGATCATGCCTATTATTGGCCGCCTTTTACAGCGATTCCATCTCCAGCAGATGAAGATGTCATGATCTTCACAATTTCTAAGCTCACTGGCCATGCTGGAAGTAGATTTGGGTAATACTAATGGACTTGTATACTCAAATTAATGTCATGTTTTGGATGTGGTTTCTTTTTTAAGAATGCACACGCAGATACAGGCTTATAGCTGAATCATGCTTGCAGCAGTTTTTAGTACTACTAGAGTTGTTGGTAGAAAACCTAACATGCAAGACGTCTGTGAACAGATGGATGAAGTTCTGAACATAAAAACTGCTCTTATAAACTGACGTTATAGGTTAAATTCAATTGTGAGATTTTGTGCAGATGGGCAGTAATAAAGGACAAGGATGTTTATGAAGGAATGTCAGCATACATAAGCCTGGCCGAGATGGGCCTCTCAAGGGATACTCAATTGAGAGCTTTGAAGCTCCTAAAAGCACTACTTGAAGATGATGGCAAAGAAATTTTTTATTTTGGATACAGAAGAATGATGGATCGCTGGAAAAGGTTAAACCAGGTTATATCATTGTCAAAGCATTTCAGCCTTCAAGAGATCTCCCCTCAATACTGCAATTATCTTGACAGAGTCAGAGAACCATCTCCAGGTGATTCTCCCCTTATGTATACACTTTTGCGAATACAATAGTTTTAATCTGTCCTCCATTAGTTGATAGTTTTTTGCTGTTAAAGTATCTTGAGATTCTTCAACGAGGTTCAGGGACCAAAATGTTGAAATTTAAAAAATGATAACCAACCTACAGAACTAAACAAAGATTGAACTAACCATCAAAGCTTCCAAGTTGAAGAAAAATCAATATCACTGTGAATTTTGGTTTTAGTACTTTCTAGGATATGTAATCTTTGATGTATTGGCCATGTTTGTCTTTTGGTGGTGAGTTACCTGAATATTGCAATTCTAATCAAAACTGAAGACATATCGATTGTTAATCCATGTTCACAAAATATAGAAATCAATTTCTATAGAAATCATTTGTTGGGCTTGGTCCTCATCATTTGGTGGCCATTAGACTTGGAAAACTAGTAACTAGTACTAGTAGCCATCAGCTTCTTTCTTGGAAAAGTAGACGGAAAGCTTTAGCCGTACTAGATATCAATCAACCGAGGGAAAAAAGATTTCAGCCGATTTTGGGAGAGAAACTAGAGAGAGAGAAACAATTTCAAAATCTTGATTGGAGGGTGATTCGAAATTCGATTGGAGCTAAATTTTATTCATGGATCCTCTTGTTAAATTCTACTCATTTGGATTTCCTCTTCATTTGGTAACACTCTTCCAAACTCACTTCTTTGACAATTGTAGTTTTTGGGGCGATTTTGTAGCAATTTCGCTTGGTTGATATTGGTAATATTGTTATCATTCGAATATTTCGGGTAGACCTGTGTATTTTCATTATTGTAATAGTGAAGATTTTTTACTGGATTAGGTCCCATGATTTTTTTTAATTTGGATTTTTCACGCCCTATACCTTTTATTTTTCTATATTTTATTATTATTATTGATATCGTTGTTTGGTGATTTGGTTTATTCCTATTTTAACTGGTATTTGGAAAAAAAAGTAATTTGTCTTGGATTAATTTTGATATTTCCCAACATAATTTAATATCAATACCTTTTTGACTTCTGAATAAAAATTTAAATATTTGTATAAATAACTCTCTGTCTTTTGCTTCTACTTGCCAAAGTTCTATATTAAATACAAATGCTCAGACATTTTTATCCAAATAATCATATCCAAGACATTTTGATACTACTGGTGATCTTTCTGTTTGTGTATTGATAATGGCAGCTTATGCATGGCTGAAATGTGAAAGAGAAGAAGATACGAATTGTACTAAAGTCCTCAACGCAGCAAATATCATTGGTCGCAAAGGTAGAGTTTTCAATGTTGGAACCCGCCATGTTCGCCTTTCCCTTCTCAAGAGACAAGGTGATTTTGAGTTGCTGTTATACAGATTGAACGAACTAGTCAAGAAAGAATATGATGCACACCAGGCTATGTGATTAGTGAAGGTTTTGATCAATAGTCGGTTGACTATAAACTCAACAAAAATCATAATTTGTGAGTAATAAATCAGATAAAACTCTTGCCTGAAATAAAGATGATCAGGAATTTATTTGCCTGAAACCAACAACACAAGACACTTTTGTCTATTTGGGGTTCAGGATTTGATTCCAATTTGTCCAGTTGAATATTCCCAATCCTCATGTGTACGTACCTATATCAAATTATTTTTCTAAGTTTTTTTAGTTTAATACAATTCTTGTGGCATTCATTTTTTATAACTAAATAGAAATTGTGGCATGTGGTTGTAATTGCCACTCTCAGTGCAAGTTTGGTGTCGTGACACTGAGGTGTAGTGATACTTTTTCTTTGAGGTGCCGTTGAGTTCCTTTGTCGAAAAACTTAACTAAAAATGCTGTCTGTGTTTGTATTTATAACATGTTAAGCTAGGATGTCTCAAATCTTTTATTTGTTGATTTTCCCCTCCAAAATTGTTTCTCTTTTCCTGCATCCTGGAAATGTTTTCAATAATGATGATCCCTCTGCAACAGCAACAGACTGATCATGTAAATCCGACCTTGCGTTTAATTTACCTAAGTTGTCGAGTGCTAAATCCAAGACATATATCCGACTTTCCGTAAAGCACAGACATTTTTTGTAGCAGAAAAAGGGATCCAATTTTACATGCTTTGCTAAGTAGTTACCATTCTTCAGATCTTCTAACTTGGTTAGACTAGGGGTGCTATCAAGCTAAGCCACTCAAGAGTAGTTTGTGAGCGGCTTCATCCAAAGCTTGATTCGAATTCGAGCTCGAGCTCGAGCTGCTCGTTACATGTAACGAGTTGAGTTCGAGCATTTAAAATAAATACTCGAGTACTCGACGAGTTTAATCAAGTATTTGTATTATTTATATATTATATATTTTAATTATGTAACAATCTTAATTATCAGTGTTTGTACTGTCAGTGTAGGAAAGATTAAACCTAACTATTATGGGTTCGTATTTTAATAAATTTACATGAAGTAATGTTTAGTAAAAAAATGATGAATAACAAAATGGTAATCTGATAAATCTAAAAGGTCAAAAATTGAAAACAAGAAAAAAAAAAATCACAGGTATAGATTCGAGCTCGAGCTTGAGTAGTTCGAACTTGATATTTACTTGATCTCAAACGAGTCAAGCTTGAGTTTGATTTTCATTATATCGAGTCGAGTTCACGTTCCAATTTCTGTACTTGTTTGAGCTCGAGTTGCACTGACAGTGATCGAGTTCAAACAAGTGGAAAAATTGGTTGTTTCCAAATATTTCTCTTTTCGAGTTTTCACGCAAGATTATGAATATAATCAAACACGGAATAAGTTCAGCTCATCAGATTGACACTGCTCACTGTACAGTATTTCGTATTAACTGTGAATCTTGTAGTTATAAGACTTGGGGGAATCATCAAAGATTCAAAGCGAAGTTTCGAGTAATTTTGTTGAAGAGACAACACAAAGATCAAGGCTCTGCAAGAAAAGACAAAGATACAAAGCACTTCAGACATATATTTTTCTACCTTACAATGGGAAAACAATTTCCAACCCAAAAATAGGATTGGTTATAATCCATGACAGCGTTCATGAATCAGCTTTGCATCTCGTATCATGCTGCTGCTCTTCCTTTGTATTGTACAAAAGGTATATCATGTTTAAATGCACATTATATACCAATTGTGTCTTAAAATACAAAGATTCCTAATTAAGTGCAGATGTATAATTCATACAACAAGGGGCCGCTTTTGCCCTGCCATCTGTTTTGGTCTCAAATAATTCAATATTACTCTCCTCTTCATCAAAAAGCAGAGGAATAGTAGAATTAGAATTACAACGATCAAAATTTCTGAATGCTGCCCAGGCAAAAGCTCAATGAGTTTCTGCTCTCTCTTCTCAAAGCTGCAGTCACACCTGCTTGGCAGTGAATCATCTCTGGCAGCAACTACCGGATCAAGAATAAAGTCTACTGTACTTGCTTCTTCTCCCAATATGATACGTGTACTCTTGGACTTGTAACCGGGCATCGATGCGACAACTATAAATTTTCAAGTTAAAATCAGAATGTTCACAAAAAAATTTGTAGGTATGTACTCTTTCCTTAATCATATCCAATTGCGAGCTATAAGTGAAGACAAAAACTACTGAAATTCAGTGATTACACTGATGAAAACATTGATATCGTGGTTGAAGACCGAAACATTTAGGCTGATCATGATTACCTTCGTATTTCTCTCCAGGAGTCAGCAAACGATGATAATCAGCAAACACTTTGCCAGCTTTGATCTGTTAATTAAAAGGTTGTGAAAAAATGAATTGAAAGAAATCAGCTATTCTGCTACATCATTAAAAATCCGACATATTAGGGTATACAACCAGCAATGACTAACCCCTTTGGAGTTATATTACAATCTGATGGACCATCTAATAGTGCTTAGACAAGAATTGTCATGCACCTTTCTATTCAGTGGTCATCCCCTTCCTCTGACCAAAAATTCAACTTAAACGCTACCTTAAGTAAACATTTTTATTCTGTTTGATCACATAAAACTACTGCTCATGCGATGCCATCAATAAAGACAAATAGCTGCAGTGAACTACTTATGTGAAGCATGAAGAAAAGCCTCAAAATTGGGGAAAAAATTCAACTTAATATACAAATCAATTAAATAATGCATCTATAAACTGAATTACAAATATATACAAAATTGTATGATTTCACTCTTATATCCTTCATCTAGCCACAAAGTCATCATGGTTATGTGTTATCTTGGTAAGTTTCAGAAATCTCAGTGTCTCAAATGCAAGTCAAGCATAATCAAAGACATACCGTGGAATTTATTCCCTTGATAGATATTGAGGCTGCCAAAGGGCTTCCATAATCTGATGAGAAGATCCTTCCATGTATTCCTGTCTACATAATAAGAAGTCTTTTGAGGTGAACATCATTAAAGTCACCATACAAAAAACTACATATCAATTTTCAGTCCAATAACAAATATCAAACCTCTCGACCAATTAAACAACCAGATAGATGAACAAACAATAACAATAATGCATGAACTACATTGCTTTAGTCCTCCACCAAAAAGAGAATCTTTTTGGCTTCTGGAGTTACAGGTTTTTGTTAGAAAAAATACAGAAGACATGGTCATGGACAATTTGGACTTGACACTACATGAACAGCACCAGGGATGCTCAATAATTGGTAGCATGCTCCAAATCATACAACAAAATTCGTAGCCAATGCTTGTCCATGATGTCAATATGGTGTATTCCCAAAGCTAGGTAGCTAAGTACAAGCACAGTTTAAGAGAATATGGACACAGCAGGATCAAAAATTAGGAGCTACTTTGAAAAAAACGAATGTTAGACATGGGGACTTGTTGCCAACAATAATAGATAAAAGATACCAGAAGCTTAAAAAACTTACCTTTACGAGACTTGCAACAAGGTTTAGCATGCTCATTCTGTTAAACTCCCAAAGAACAGGAATCTGCAAAAAGGTGAAACCAGAGGAGAACATAAAATAGACTCTTGAAAGATAAAATGGATTTGGGAGAATAACACTAGGAAAAGAATACGTTCATTCATTCAAGTCAGTAGTCATACGTCATCTGAAGGTCCAGAAAATAAATAATGAAGACCTTGTATCTAGAAATCCTTTTATTTTATAGATGTCTTCTGAAATCACAAACAATAGTTAAAAAAAAACACCACCCCTAAAATCTAACAAGAATGGTGTCTTCACACCTGTCATTTAGCAAGAAAACCAAATTCTACCACCATTACCCAATCAATAATATCAAGGATTCTGGAAAACAAAAAGTTTGAAAGGAGAAACTTTTGTAGAGATCTCTTCAAGCTCCAACCTAACCACTATCACTAGCTAACAAGAAGCCCAAAGTAAAGCAATAATAATCTGAAGATATCTCAAATTTAGTACACCTGCAAAGTGAGCTCTTGATAGATAACTTTAAAGCAGTTTTGAGGGATATTTTGTATTTCTTAAATGCAAAAAAGGCTTGGTTGAGATCTAACCTCACTTGCATTAGGCCACTTATCATCACTAATCTCCAAAGTCAATTCAAAACAGCCAGCATATATATAATTCCAATCTTGCATCCCACCATATATAGGATACCTACAGGAGAATTAATATTTGAACACAAAAGAAAAAGAAGATAAGTTCCACAAGGCGTCTCTACATGGAGCATCTGAAGCATATTACTTCGTGCAGTTTATGTAAATGATATCATACCACATAGCTCCATTCGTTATTCCCCCAGGAAACTCCTTGCTTAAGGACATATTATGGTGTGAATTACTGTATAAACTTGCCATGAATCTGAATGTTTTGTCATCAGGGCATGCATAGTAATACTTCCTGAGACGATCCAGATTGACAAGAAAATCTAAGAGAAATTGATAAACATAACTGCTAGCAGTGGAAAAAGATCAGTGATTCTATAGTAGTATGCAAAAATAAATAAATAAATCTTTGTGGAAACAGGCAACTGAAGTGTTGAATTACTCAACTATTAACGAAAGTCAACCAACAAATATACCATGATTTATTCTAGAAGATAGGTGCCAATTAGAAACATGATTAACTGACTTAATCAAAATTCAAAGGAACTGTTCCAGCTATGGTAAATGCTTTCTCCAAATGAGAAAAAAATTAAAAAAAGGTCCAGCAACCAATCCATATATCAATGGTGGTGAGTTCATGACAATAAAAAAGAATTTACATCGTCAAATCTTATCCCCCAAAAGCAAGGTCACTCTCATCAATTTATCAAGGGTTGTCCAAAACACCACAATCAGACATAAAACGTATTTCAGAGAACTAACTTAATTTCCCAAGAAACTAATGCTGCCAGCAGGAGAAAGATTATGCTGTTATATGAGGATTCTTAACTTGCACAGAAAAAAAAGATGTGCAACTAGAATAGTTTACAGTATTTCCATGTCTCCATAATAACTCAATCAAATGCTGAATAAATTCAAGGCAGAATCAAATATAGAATACTCACTTTTCATCTGAAGTTCCATCCCATGGATAATTAGCAACAAGTGCTCCCTGTACAGTAAAGACTAATTAGCTTATCAAGTATGGTTGATCATATCTGTATCCAAATAACTTAGGCCTCCTCAAGTCAATGAGCTGCCTCAAAGTATACATGCAGTAGTCACTTATTAAAAGGAAAAAGCATATAAGCAGTGGTTTGAACCTTCTCGTACAATGAATGCATG